GCAGCCGCGGGTACGCGCATGGGCGTATCTTGTCTCTGCTGGGGGTGGATTTTGGGAGCCCTGTTATAGGGGGCGACAAAAGGGCTCTTGTCACACGGGCGCAGGATTACCGTGGATTAGTCCAAATTGGATATTTACCTCAGACACTTAAAAACGTTTGAACAACGGTGTGTAAAGTGCGCCTGTAACCCCAGCGTTGTGGAGACAGAGGTTGGAGATTAGCCCACAAGTCAGAGGCCAGCCTCGGCTACATAGCGAGCCTCTGTCTCAAAAACAACCACGACAAACTCCAGTAACAAAAAAGCCTGAAGCAGAGGGCAAGGCCTGAACAAAGGTGTAGTCATGGTGGAGGCCCATGAGCTCTCCAGCAAGTTAGGTTTCTGCTCCCGACCTCCCCAGGAAGAACTCCAGCCGCTCTGCTTGGTTCCCAGTGCCTTTTCCACGCTGAGCTGCTTCGTCTTTAGTACTCCATCAGATTTTCACACACACACACCGGTCCCTCTTGACCTTTGCCCATGCTGTCTGTCATCTGTTAATGCCTGTCCATCTCCCGTGCCTTTCGTTAGGTTCACCTCTTGTCTTGGAACCATACCAGATTCTGGTGTGTAAAACCAGGAACCAGTACTCACCTCAAAAGGTGGTTATGAGGATGAAATGGAGCAGCACAAGGATTGCTGAGGAACTGAACCTCAGTTTCCTAATCTGAAAACGGAGGGAGACAGCAGGCTCTATTGGAAAGTGGGGACTGTGTGATAACTTGCCAGGATACTAGGGACCCAGGCCATCCTCTCTCCCGAGCAGCAGGCAGATAAAGGGAAATGGGACAGGCACACTGGAGATTCCTGGTGCGACCCATGGACCCAGGTGATGAAGTGAGGGTGGAAGGGCATCTGCAGCTACCTGCAGGTGGACTAGCGGGCAAGGTCTGCTGACCTGGACCCTGGCAGAACCCAGCCTGATTTGTACTGTTGAACACCTGGTGTGTCTCTCCTGTGTTATAGGCAGTTTAGCTGGGAAGTCCAGAGCTCTTTAGAAGCCCAGTTCTCTAAGCCTTTTACAGCTGCGTGGGGGGAGCTCTTTACCACCACACCCAGAACACCTAACAGCTAAACCCAGCAGGGTTGGTGGAGCAGGGCAGTTCTCTCAGAGTTCAAGGCCAGCCAGGGCTACTTAGTGAGACTGCCTCAGAAAAAGAAGGGGGAAAAGTGACTTTTCTATAGGGGGACTCTCCAATCCCAGGTAACTGCAGTGTGTTTCCTCCTGGACTGTGCTCTTGAGTCAGGCCCAGATCCTGTGGGGAAAAGCCAGCCTGCCTGGGTTGAATATCACAAGTCCATATGCACAAGTCCAATACTGTCAACACTCCAGCAGCCAGCATTTTTGCAATTATATCAACCTCACTGGAGGATTTTAAGAATTGAATGAGTTAGTATTTGCAGGGGGGTTGGCACATAGTACAAATAATTTTTTTGTTTTTTGAGACAAGATGTATATATATCTCTGAGGATGCCTTTGAATGGATCCTCCTGCCCTTGCCTCCTAAACCTACCTTTTTCTTTTTGTATGTATGTCCATGTGCGTGCAGTGCATAGTGTGTAGGTACATTGTGGGCATGCATATTCAAGGTCCACCTTGGGTGTCATTACTCGAGTGCTTGCTGCACACTGTGTTTTGAAACAGGGCCTTCTTCGGGCTTGGAACTTGCTAACTAGGCTAGGCTGGTCTTTCTAGTAGGCTAGGCTATCCTGTCTCTGCCTCCCCAGTTGCAGGTTTACAATTGTCCACTTTTTTTTTTTTTTTAACTTCGATTCTGAGGATTGAAGTCAGGTTTACCAATTGAACCCTCACCCAAGCTCCTAAAATTACCTTGTAAAACAATGTAGGACAGGAGAGATGCTCAGTCAGTGAAGTACCTGCCATGTAAAACATGAAGACAAGTTCAAATCCCCAGCAGCCATGTAACCCCAGCAATGGGGCAGTGGGGTGTTGATGAGAGGTTATGGAGACAGCCAGATCCCTGGAGTTCATTGGCCAGATAGCCTAGTTGAATTGGTCAGCTCTAGATTCAATGAGACCCTGTCTCACAACATTAACATGGAGAGTAATCAAGGAAGACACTTGACATTGACCTCAGGCCTCTGGCCTCCACATACACATACACCTGTCACCACATGTGCACACATGAATGCACGCACACACACACCACCAACAACAACAACATATGTCTATCCCTAACACCCATTTGTATCCTATACTGGGAATATTGATGAACACTTAGAATACAATTGTCCCAAGCAAAACTCAGAAGGCAAGCAACCAGTCAGTAAACAAATGGATTTGAACGCAGGCCTCACTGGCTCTTCAGTGTGGGCCTTCAACCACCCAGAGACCATTCCCTTAAGAGGCTGCTGAGTCCTGAGCAGGAGAGAACTAGAGGTGTATGTCAGCCTGAAATTAGGGCAAGCCCAGTTGCTTATTCCACAGGGGAGGAGAGGCAGCAAAGAGGTCGTTTTGGTTATTTCAGTATCCTGAATTATGATGTGCACTGCTGCGCTTGCTTGAGCACCAGGCTTCCATGTTACCAAGATATCCCTTCTCTATTGTCCCTCATTAGGCTGGAGCTTTCTCTGTCCTGGGCCTCACCACATCAACCTGTACCGGTCCTAGAACCCTAGCTAGGGGTGTTGAGGGAATGAGGGAAAGACAGACACATAGACACTAAAGCTCAGACCAGGTGGAATTACCAGGGAATATTTTTGTAATGTTAACAGGAGAATCAGTCTGATCACAGCCTTTTATATTTTTAGAATGAGCTGACATAATTGGACCACATCCTTACTATCATTGTGGGTCCAAACACCCAGGAGGTCAGTCCCAATTCCCAGTTATATCTATTCTCTCTCTCTCTCTCTCTCTCTCTCTCTCTCTCTCTCTCTCTGAGGGGGTTTCTCTGTGTAGCTTTGGAGCCTGTCCAAGAACTTGTGTTCTAGCCCAGGCTGGCCTCTAACTCAGAGATCCACCAGCCTCTGCCTCCCGAATGCTGGGATTAAAGGGGCACCACCACCGACAGGCTCCCAGTACCCTTTTTAAAAAGTGCTTAGCTACATCTTGAAGGGGCCTCTCTCTCTCTTGTTTTTTCTTTTAATTTTTGTAAATTTTCTTTAAAAGACTTGTTAGTATTTTTAAAAAGCTTTGTAAGTACCTTCCTGCCTCAGGGTCATCTGTAAGGTGTTCTATAACTAGCAAGAGCCAGGGTACAAAGTTTGAATTAAAACAAATTCCTCAAAAAAACAAAACAAAACAAAAACCAAATTCCTCTTCTCCCTCTCCCTCTCCCTCTCCCTCTCCCTCTCCCTTTCTTCCTCCTCCTCCTCCTTCTTCTTCTTTTGTTTTTTTCGAGACAGGGTTTCTCTGTGGCTTTGGAGGCTGTCCTAGAACTAGCTCTTGTAGACCAGGCTGGTCTCGAACTCACAGAGATCCACCTGACCTCCTCCTCCTCCTTCTCCTTTTTCTTCTTCTTCTTGTTATTATTATTATTATTATTATAAAAGCTGCTAAGTTATTTAGCCAGGTTGTTCAAAAGCTAGGTAGCATTTAAAGCTACCAAGGTTTTTTTCTTTTGGCTATGAGCCTCTCTTAGTGTCATGCTATAACCAGCAGACTGCACCTGATCCTGCCCACCTGCTAGCCACCTGAAACTGCCATGGTGGTGCCTACAGGAGCAAGTGCAACTGTCTGCCTGTATAGCCCCCACATGCCATGATCCCCAGTGCAGGAGCTGGAAAGGGTATGCTCATACAGCACCACCTTTTAGCGGTCCAACATGGGCACCAAGCTCCATTATGTTGTCCATTGCTTGTGTTCCCTAGAGACTAAGTATAGCTTCACTTTTCCTTTTGCCCTGACATCCCCTCCTCCCCCAGGCTCAGAGCCAGCAGACCATTCCCTGTACTTCATAAAGTTCTGAGGAGAGAAAGTCTCAGCCTCCTCACTAGGATTCTTTTTTGTTGTTTCAAGCCCACACTGAGCCCACATGATGGTTGACATTGTCAACTCTATAGAGCTAAGATCGCCTAGAAGACAAACCTCCAGGTTATCTAAATTAGGTTAATTGAGTTTGGAAGACCCATCTTTAATGTGAACAGTGCCATTCCTGAAGACTAGAGTGCTAGACTAAAGAAAAAGGAGAAAGTAAGCTAAGCACCAGTGTTAGGAACATAAGTGAAACCATTTATGTGTAAAACTATTTTGTGTGATTTGGAATAATGTAATGCTTGTAAGATGTGTTACTGAACCAACCCCAAGGTGGCACTGATATGTTAATGAACCAGCCCTAAATTGTGAACACTGAGAACACAAAACTATAGCCCATTATAGGATATTGGTAGAACATTTGACTACAGATCAAGGGGTCCCCAGTTCAAATCTGGATGTCTTTTTTTTTTTGTTTGTTTTTGTTTTTGTTTTTTTCGAGACAGGGTTTATCTGTGGCTTTGGTCCTGGAACTAGCTCTTGTAGACCAGGCTGGTCTCAAACTCACAGAGATCCACCTGCCTCTGCCTCCCAAGTGCTGGGATTAAAAGCTTGCGCCACCAACGCCCAGCTCTTTCTTTCTTGAGACGGTCTCACTATATATTCCTAGCTCTCCTGAAACTGTGTAGACCAGGCTGGCCTCTAACTCACAGAGATCTGCCTGCCTCTGCCTCCTGAGTGCTGGGATTAAAGGCATGTGCCACCATGCGAAGCCTCTGGTATACCCCTAGTGAGTCTTCATATTTATCCCAGTCTGAGCTTTCAAGGTGGCCCTCAGAATTGCACTGCTGTCTCAGCCTCTGCAATGATTCCCATTGGCAAGGGGACTTTGAAACTGGCTACAGTGTGCCTCTGGCTTCAGCAACTGACAACATTGATGGGTTCACAGATGCTCACCTATCAGAGCTAGCCAGTGCTCTCAAGGACCTTCTGGAACTTCTAGCAGCAGCATCCTCTCACTCTGCCACAGCTGAAGGATCTCACAGTGGGTGCAGGTCAAGCTTGCTTCTTAAGCATCCTCACTGGAGAGGATGCCCTAGATCAGTAGTTCTCAACCTGTGGGGTGTGACCCCTTTGGGATTTGAATGACCCTCACCGGGGTCGCCTAAGACCATTGGAAAATACATATTAACATTGCAATTCATAACAGTACAAAATTATAGTTATGAAGTAGCAGTGAAAATAATTTTATGGTTGTGGGTCACTACAACATGAAAAACTGTATTAAAGGGTGCCCTAGAAGAAGGCTGAAGCATTTCCTGCCCATGTTCCCTGTTTGGCAAGATGTGTGTTTACATGAGATTGCCATAATCTTTATAATAGCATGGAGTTGTAAGGAATGGTTGCATGAGTAAACTAAGCATATTTGAACAAATCTTCTGTGTACATCCTAACTGCCCAGAACCTCATATACCACTGGCCATGCTTTCCATGACTGGCATTCATCTTTCTGTTTTCTGATTGTGAATAAAATGTGACCAGGCTCCTGGAGCTCTCCCCCCCCCCACCCCCGGCCATGACTCCTCTGCCATGATTGACTGCACCCTGAAACTGTGAGTAAAATAACCCTTAAGTTGCTTTTGTCAGGAATTTTTCCACAGTAACAAGAGAATTAATTAATACAGCCAGGCACCAGGGCTAAGGAACCCCAAGTGAGCCACACAGAGCTACAGCCCTTATGGTAGTGCTAATGTGACTGTGCCTTGAGTGCTTCCTGCCCCTTGGTGCCTGTTTCTAGAGAAAGCCAGCTTCAGGCAGTAGCATGAAGTGAGAGCCTTGAGGTAAATAAATACGTCAAAGTTCTTCCTTTGATTCTCACCACCAACATCCTGACTCATCAAGCCCTCGTGCCCTTCTGCTTAGACATCCAAAATCTACCTCCCCTTGTCCGTCTGTGCCCCCCCCCCAGATCGTGCTGGAGCTTTACAGGCTCTGGGCCTTTTCTCAGGTCTCCTTGCTCCTTCTCTCCTGGATCCACTACTACTGGAAAGTTCTGCCTGGCCCTTGGGATGAAATCCTGTGAATTCCCAAGAGGCTGGGCCCAAGTCACCCTCAAAAGGTTTTCTAATTCCAGGGTCATCTGTTGCTAGTGACATCATCTTAGGCCCCATAAGCTGGGACCTGTTCTTATCACTTGGCTGGTCCCACTCCTGGGGTTGGTCTGGTTCATAGTTACCTAATATAGTAGTTCCCAGGGCCTGGCAAGGTACTGAATAGCTGAAAGAGTCTCAGGCCCTTCCTCTGGGCTGCTGTTGCCAGGCTAAGCCCAGTTCCCAAGCCTCTGTGTTTTCTACCAGTCCCCCATCACCAGCACTTCCCATTTACATTCATTTATTTGTTTAAATTTTATTTTTTATGTGTATGAGTATTTTGCCTGCACATATGTCTGTACATCACATGTGTGCCATAGACAACAGACCTTGTGGAACTGGAGTTACAGATGATTGTAAGCTGCCTTGTGGGTGCTGGTAATTGAACCCAGATCCTCTGGAAAAGCAACCAGTGTTTTTAACTACTGAGGCATCTCCCCAGCATCTCTTTTGCCCCCAGACAGGTTCTTGCTATGTAGCCTTGGTTGGCCTTGAACTCAAAGTAATCCTTCTGACTCAGCCTCTGGAGTGCTGAGATCACAGGTGTATACCATCATACCTAGCATTCCTCTCATTTATATGGCAAGTAGTTTTGAATGGTCGACTCTACATCAGCCATCATTTTAGGCTAGACCCTCCATCTGCAAATCCAGCAGGAAAGTATGGTTTCTTCTAGAATGTCTAACTCTCTCCTTTCATCTATCCTTAACAAACTTTACTTATTCTTCAAAAACCAACCATAATGTACCAGTCTCTGAGAGACTTTTTCTCAGCCTTCCTAGCCTCTACCCCCTGAGATGGGACTTCCTTACTGTCCCAGTCTTGTGCCTTGAGTGGCCCTTTTAATGGAAGCTGGGATTAGGGTACCAAAAGATTGTAGAGTGGAGGTCAAGGGTCCTTAGAGATGGGGAAGGACAGGTGTGTCTGCTGGAATTGCTGTTCATAGCAGTGAGTCTGGCACACCTGTGCCTCTACCTCCTCTCTCGGGCTTGCTTTCCAGCCACTCAGTAGTTCCATGGAGGACAAGGCTGCCAGAAAAAACATCTTATTTGCAAAGAAATGACCAAGGGTCACAGGTCCAGGCTGAGGGCACCTGACAAGGATACATGGAAGGCTGGGGTATCAAGTACCAAAGAAACCAAAGGCAGGTCCTAATACATCTAGACTACTGGTGTGGGGCTTCCCTGTCAAGGGCACTAGTCAAGGCAGGGCCTGTCACCTTCTGGAGGCCCTGGGGTCCTACTTTCTTCCTTACTGCACAACAGGCCAGCCCTTAAAAGTTACTTCTGCTAACTAACCCTTGGCTGCATCTGTGATTTCATCCCAGCTCCAGACAGGTTTTCTTGGGTTCCTGAGTTTTCCCCCTGTCTCCTTTGCTCTCCAAGGTTCTGGCCCTTGTCTGGGGTCACTGGTCCAGACAGGCCCAGCAACTACCCTCAGGCCACAGAGCGAATCTGGCAGGAAGTAGCAGAGAAGATAGGCCATGTCAGAGCAGGGTGATCTCGCTGGGCGGCAGTGTGAGCCGCTCCTCCCGGGCACTGAGCATGGTCTCCACATGCACAGCCACGACACGACACAGCTCCAAACCCTGCAGGGGGACACAAAATAGTCTCTTAACCTCCATCCCCCAAACAGAAATGTGGTCGGGAGAAGAGCAGAGGTCACATGACCCATGTGAAGATCCTTGTCCCCAGTTCCCTCGAAAAGAGCTGGTGCACCATAGGCCAGAAGGGACAGCAAAGCAGGGGACAGTGCATTGGACATCAGCTTTGCTGCCTGTGTGCTATGTCACATAAGCTCAGTTACTATGCTTCTCTGAGATTCTGGTGGGTTTCAGTTTACCAGACCCAGCCTAGCAGACTCATGAGGGTTTAGATGGGATTTTGTTGTTTTGAGACAGAGTTTCAATGTAGACCAGGCCAAGACTGGCCTTGACTCACAGAGATCCTCCTGCCTATGCCACCCCAGGGTTGAGATTGCAGAGATTATAGGCATATGTCACCATGTTCAGCAAGATCAGATTATTTTTTTGAGATAGGTCTTACTGTGTAGCTTTGGCTAGCTGTGAAAACTCATAAAGATTTACCTGCCTTTAAGAGGGTTGGTGGTGCAAGCCTTTAATCCCAGAACTCGGGAGGAAGAGGCAGGTGGTGTATCTCTGTGAGTTCGAGGCCTGCCTGATCTACAGAGTGAGTTCCAGGACAGGCTCCAAAACAATACAGAGAAACCCTGTCTCGAGAAAAGAAAAATAAGATTAAAAAAAGATTTACCTGCCTTCACCTCCTAGTTCTGGGATTAATGGACATGCCACCATTCCTGGCCTAAGGTTTTTTTGTTTTCTTTCTTCCTTCCTTTCTTTCTTTCTTTCTTTCTTTCTTTCTTTCTTTCTTTCTTTTTTTCTCTTTCTCTTTCTTTCCTCCTCCTCCTCCTCCTCCTCCTCCTCTTCCTCCTTCTTCTTCTTCTTTTG